TTTGATCTTTTTTATATTATTTCTTTCGAATCTTTGCTTGGTTTTCGTGTGGAAGAAAGTAGTATTCTTGTCTCCATGTTGTAACCAGTCTTGCCTACTCCTTTGTTTCCAGTACATCTCCTCCCTTTTCTCTAGTTCATCCATTCTATCATCAAGAGCTTTCATCTTATTTATGGCTTCCACGGTTTGGGGTCCTTCTAAGAGTTTCTCCATTTGATTCCTACAATCCTGTAGCTCCTTCATAAAATCTCCGAACCTAACCTTGCTCCACGAACTCAGCCTGGATGAGGTGAAGGAAATATTCGAGCAAAGGTCACCTCCCATCTCCCATGCTTCCGAGACCACATTTGCACAACTTTCATCCCTTAGCCACATCTCCTCAAAACAGTACATCTTCTTTTTTTTCTTTTTTTTCTTCGGTAAATTCAAAGCCTTCTTAATACACAAAAGAATTGGGAGGTGATCAGACCTCCTTTTTGTGAGATGCGATACAAAAGAGCCTGGAAAACGCTATCTCCATTCCCTATTTGCTAGAAAACGATCAAGGCGTTCTTATATGTTCTCCACACCTCTATTATTTGTCCATGTGAAATCATGGCCAATAAATCCAAGATCTTCTAAATTACAGTAGGTGGTTGCCTCTCTCAGTATTTCAGCTTCCTCATCACAGAAAATACGACCCCCCCATCTTCTCATTTGATTGCATCATGAGGTTGAAGTCACCCCCCGCAAAGCCATGGTCCTCCTTGTTCATGCCATAAATTTTTTAAGAGCAGTCCCGTCCCCATCTTCTTGCCTTCCTCTAAATATCCATATATTCCTGAGAACCTCCAGCTCCCATAGTGCTCAGAAGAGACACCTACATTAATATGGTTCTGAGAGTAAGATTTAACCGTCACATTGAGCTCACTTTTCCACAACAAAGCCAACCCGCCTTTTCTCTTTCTTCCTTCACCTTCACAGTCCACACTTAAGGCACAATCAAAATTTATTTTCTGTTTTATTTTTCAAATTCGAAAGCTTTCAACTTAGTTTCTGACAGAAAAATAATTTAGGGGCGTTCAAGGAAAACAATCCTTTTCAATGCATTGACTGCAGAGGTGCCCCCCAGGCCCCTACAGTTCCACGATAGTATGTAACTCATTGGCTCTGGAGAGCCCATTTGGAGGGGCTCGCCACTCTACTGGTGTTCTGTATTGCAGTTCTCTTATTGCTACTCTCTTCAGTTGGGTTCATTCCTTCATTCAACTTCCTCTTCTCTCCTGAAAGAACTATCTCCCCCTCCATGTTGCTATCTCCATCCCTTGTAAGACGCTTCCAGCCTTTCTTTTGTAAAGTCATTTTGGTGCTCTTATTATCCATTACCTCCCCTGTGTCTACCCTTTGTTCTCCTTCCTTTACACTCTTGAAGATGAAGAAGTCCCTTCCCTCTCCGCTCTGAGTGGTTGTTTTACTCCCTTCCTCTCTGTTTAAGGCCACCTCTCCTAACTTATCAAACACTTCAGCCACCTGCAAATCCTCTGCAATAGGTAAATTACTCTGTTTCGGTTTAGCCACAAATAGCGACTTAGCACATTGACTAGTCTTTCCTTTCAGATCATTCTTCTCTCCAGGAATGTACTTCCATGGCGAGGCCTTTAGCCACGAGCCATAAGGTAGAGCAGGTTCATCGAGTTCTTTGTGCCTTTCACAATCCTTTACGCCATGTCCCAGCATCCCACAATAGAAGCAGAAGAGTGGTGGTTTCTCATATTTTACGTCGAAGTACTCTTCGATTCCACCTCGTAGCTTAATTCTGACCTGCTTGATCAAGGGCTTGCGCACATCTAATAAAACACGAATTCTGATGGATTTATCAATCCCAACCTTTTCTGTCGTGTCTAGCCTCACAAAAATCCCAATTTTGTTCCCTATATTCTCAATATTCGCAAGGTTTAATCTCCCTTTAAGGGGAAGATTGTAAACCCTAATCCACATCGGCAAGAAGAAAAGATCAACATCCGAAGGTTTCACGGACTCAGAGGCTTCCCCAAGGATCAAGGCATGACGATCAAAATGCCATGGTTGTTCATCTAATACACGTTGCTTATCTCTCCAATGGTAGAACTGAAACAGGAAGCGGTTTTTACCAATATTCGAGATGTCTACACCGTGCTTGGTCTGCCGTACTTCTTTGATTGTGTTTATGAAGGCGTTTGCATTAATGTTTCGATTTGTCCAGATTTTCCCTACTAGGGCTAATGCAATACAATCCTCCTTATCCTCCTCGCCTGTATCATCCCATACTATTGCTTCGCTCAGAGCATCCTCTCCTTCAGTCAAACAAACACTACTCTCTTTATCTCCCTTTCCCTTCAATTTCAAAGGATTATTCTCCTCTGCCATTGGAACGGAAGAGGGGCGTTGATTAAAGATTATAGCACGTAAACTATGCAGGAAAAATAAGCAAGAAAACTCGATCAAAATCGAGAAAAACCTCAATAAACGAGGAAGCCCTAGCAAGAAAGCTAGAAGAAACCCTCCCAAGGAAAACCTAGAGGGAACTTTACATTATACATTACCAACTAATTTGCTTGGATACTCTAGTTTATGTTAATTTCAGCTCGAATCATTAAATAATAAGAGAAGTATACTATAAGTAACTCGCACTTAAATACGACTAGTATAGTACGGAGTATAATAACAAGTATAAATACATGAAGTATGAATAAATCTCTTGTAACTATGAATAATGCATGTATGATCAAGAACCTGCTACCAAACGTAACACTATTATGACTTTCTTTGATGATTTATAGTTAAGGAAAATAGTATTTAAGTCGCCATTGGTTAATGTTGAACTTAAATAAACTGCAAGTAAAATCGTGGAAAAAATAGTACTTTCTCCGATTTTCCATAAATATTGCATCATGTTGACTCTTCTTAAAATATCTAATCTGATAATCAAATGAAAAATACTTCTTCCTTTCTTTGTTTAATTTGTTTACTAAGTAAAAGTGATTATAATTTTGATACAAGAAACTTAAACTAAAACATAAGTGATTATTATCAGATACAATGTTCGTATATCAAATTTGGTATTTTAGTTCTAAACAAAGATTAACCACATGATAGTTTAGTATTCTCTCGCTTTGGGGTACTGATGGCAGCAAGTTGTCCTTGAGTGTGATGCTATTGCTGTAGTCAATGCGCTGCTATCGATGGCAGGCAAGTCAGAGAACATAGCCCAGAACTCTACTCTATATGATGATGTTATTAGACTTAGTCGATCTTTTATGTCTTTCTCTTGTAAGCATGTGAAAAGGGTAGGGAATGTAGTTGCTCACCTCATCGCGAGATGGGATGTGGGTATTGACTCTGTAATGATTTTTGAAGACCATTTCCCTCAGAGTATTTTTTCTCTTGCGGAAATGGATCTGTTTTAATAATATTTCCCCGCTAATTTTCCTTCCAAAAAAAAAAGAAAAAATCTACTTTTATGAGACAAAAGTAGTCAAAATAGGGAAAAACAAGAAATGTCTAAGGAAAAACTGTAGATTTTATTGAAAAGTTGTCAACTTAAGATATAATTAATATTAGTAATAATTTTAAAACTACTGCGCTGTCTTTTGTCCCTATTTTATGGCTCCATTTGATTTTTCACGGTCTTTGAGATGCTTGTTAAAATGCATATATCTTCAATTCTGTAAGCGTAAAAATAATTAATATTAATAAAATAAATATACAATTAGATGAATCCAATTAGCAAAGTCACACATGGCTATATTATCTCTTATAAATTAATAGGAATTTATGGTCAAATTTATTAAAAGTTGATCCAAATATTGGTTATGGAGCAAAAGAATAAGAACAAGGGGAGTATTTTATACTCCCTCCGTGTTTTAATAAGTGTTACAGTTTGACCAACACATAGTTTTAGGCAATTTAATTGACTTAAATAATATTAGAGGTAAATGGGATAGTTGAAGTACTAAAAAAATTATAAAAGAAAGATAGTGGGATTAATAGTTTATTGAAAAGTAATGAATGTAAGAGGAAAGATATAATAAAAAAAAGTAGTAGTGGGTTTAGGTGAGGACCATAAGAGGAGAGAGAGATATAATATTTAAATGTAATTTTTGCCAAAAAAAAAGTGTAACACTTATTAAAACACGGAGGGGGTATAAAAGTTGGTATCCATATTTGACGTACGAATCACACATGTATATAGAGCTATATAAACCGACTAAGTATATGATGATTAACATATCTAAAATCATTATAGTAATTAAATTAATCTTCATATAAAATAGAAGTCGCCTACTAGTTTAGTTGGTTAAAGTTCTAAAGGAACTTAGAGCAAATTGCATCAACTACACACATCGCCATTATCCGAGTATTCGTTTGTAACTGACATGGTATGGAGCAAAAAGCAATGAAGAGTACTCTATATCTGTTATTTAATGTTTATTTTATTTTGTATCTTAATATATTCCATTTTAAATGGATTCTAGCAATTTTAAAAAAAAAAAATTACTCGTAATTTAAAATATAATATGAGGGATCTTGTTAGATTTGTCTCGAATTTAAAGTTTAAAATAATTAATTTTTATACAGTATATTTTTTTCAAATTGGTTTAATTACAATATTGCATTGAAAATTGTAAGAAAATAAATTTTGAAAAAAAAAATTGAGTACCACATACTTTGCACTCATACTTGTATGTACTTTGTATATTTGAAAATATCAAAATAAAATATGTAATTCAAAATGATGCAAGTTATCTAAGATGAAGGGAAGACATGCATCCACAATTTTTAGACCACTTCCAACTTCCAAGTTGTAATAAGTCAACGCGAAATTTCTATCCTATTTCTTCTTTTGGCAAATACTACAATACAATCATACAAATTATAATTTTGTAATCACAGAATAATTGTCTAGGCGTCATTTACCTATCAGAATATAATATAAGTTTTTTTTTTTTTTTTTTTTTTTTTTTTTTTTTTTTTTTTAAAGGAAGAATATAATATAAGTTGGTCTGAAATAATCTGCATATTTACAGTAAATTACTACGTCAACACTGACGAACATTTCATGGCGACAATACAATCATCTTTGCACGTTTTGCATGTCTTCCCTAACAATGTATTCCGTACATAGTATATATCTAGGCATTTGCCTAAATGAGATAAACAAATCACTTTGCTATTCACATTTATTTGCATACATACTACACTAATAGCTATAATTTCATTCATAATCCATTCTAAGAAGCTAGGAAAAGAAATGAAGTTTTCGGTAACTAGTGCTGTAGTTAGAGCCCTAGTTCTAACAATGCTTATATTGGCAATAAGCCATGTCGGTCAATCTCAAGATTCGAATTGGAATAAACGACGATCAGAATCGAGCAATGGTCGTAAAGACTATGGTAATGGCAAGCCCCCTAGTCACAGCCCTAGTCCAATCCCTTCAAGTCCTCCATTAAGTCCTCCTGTTGTTCCTCCAAGTACGCCTACCCCAACTACACCTTCTGGTTTGCAAGTCGGCTTCTATAAAGGTCAATGTCCTAACCGACTAGTGGATATTGAGGCATTGCTCACAACCAAAGTACAAGAAGAATTTCGAAAGGATTCATCTATTCTCCCTGCTCTCCTTCGCATGCAATTTCACGATTGTTTTGTACATGTAAGCCCCGACTTTATATATATATTGTTGCATAAATTTTATAATCTATTGGTATCTCATAATTATAAATATTTCACCTGATTTCTTTTTACGTACCATTAAAGGGATGTGATGCATCAATTCTTATAAATGGACTTTCTACCGAGAAAACGGCCGGTCCAAATCTTAGCGTAAGAGGATATGAAGTGATTGACGCCTTGAAAGTTATAGCAGAAGCACAATGTCCTGGTGTTGTTTCATGTGCTGACATTATTGCTATTGCTACTAAGGAAGTTCTTAGATTGGTAAGTTTAGAACTTTCATGGTTTTACTAAATTGTTTTCTTTCCAAGCTTATCTATGTTATTATTATATATCTATTTAATGGTCTTATAACAACAGGGAGGTGGACCAAATTATTCCGTACAAACAGGGCGAAGAGATGGACAAGTGTCAAGAGCCCAAGATGTGAATCTTCCGAGTCCTTTTTTGACAGTGACTGAAACCATTTCAGCATTTACTGATAAAAATTTTACACCAGAGGAAATGGTTATTCTTTTAGGTTGCCATACAGTAGGTGTCTCAAGTTGCGCATTCTTCCAAGATAGACTTTACCAAGGTACTAGCCAATTCGACCCAATAATGGACCCAAACCTTCGCCAGCAACTAATGCCAACATGCCCCAAGGGCACAACATCGAACAATTCCACGTTTCTTGATCAAAATCCACAAAGCTCAAACATAGTTGACAACTCTTTCTTTGTTCAAATCCTAAATCAAAGAGGAATTCTTCCAATCGACCAAGCATTGGCTCGTGATCCTAAAACAGTTTCCTTTGTTCAAAAATTCGCACAAAGTGCTTCCTTATTCAACTCTAAATTGGCTAGTGCCATGGTGAAAATGCAGGCACTTGAAGTCCTTACTGGTACCCAAGGGGAGATTAGAAAAACTTGCAGTATTTTCAACTAATCGAAGTTCATATGATACAAAATTTGAAAGCTAAAGGATATGTTCGTTTTCAAGTCTTGCCTAGGATTGAAAACTCCTAGCTCTTTAATGTTGCATTCAAGCATTATATTTGCATTATAATATAATCGTATATGATACATTCAATTCCTTGCCCTAAGAGGTTTTGATCGTTCAATTATTCATGTTTATTTATTTATATACTTTTTTTGTTACCTACTAATTTCTATGTTTTTTTATACTATCAATCTCTAGCTTAAATTATTCAAAAAAGTTATATAATTTGATCGTATATAAGCATATATATATATATATATATATAACCTGGAAGCGGCCTAGTGTCCACCTAAGATTTTTGACATGTTCTCTTCATATATATATATATATGACAACTATAGCTCAAAAATCTTCAGCAAAAAAAAAAATAACAAGTCATGAAACAAATCAAACAAATAAAGCATGCAATAAAAATGAAAAAGGCAAATATTTTTACTTAAATTACCATAAAGATTAAAATAAAAACCCATAAATGAAGTAATCATAATTGGTGATCCTCTGATTATATATATATATATATATATATATATATATATATATATATATATATATATATATATATTCGGACAGGAAGAAACAAAATTTCATTAATGATAGATGGCCAAACGCCACTTACCAACGATTCCTAAGATTATTTTAAAAACCAACACAGGTAAAGTTTACCTTAGAACTGATTACATTGCAGATTTGATCAACGACAATCGTGCAACTTCATCTGAAGTAATATAATCTATGAGTTAGCACTAAATCGGCATGTAATCCACTGATGTATAGTCGTTTGAGTGAAAATACTTATGCGGTCCTCCAAATACTTACCGTGATTATAAAACCTTAGATATTCAATTCTTTCTAGTTGAAGAAACAACGAAATAAACCACAATAGAAAAAATATTATCTCAAGGATGAGATCTATTTTATTGAATGCAGATAATATGTTTTTAGGGCTTACCATCACCAGTAATAAGAATACTGGTGGAAACCTACACAAAGATTCACAATTGAGACTAGATGCAAAAGAGATGAAAGAGAAGGAGAGAAAAGGGAGAAGAGTGAAAAAAAAAAAAAAAAAAAAAAAAAACAAACCTTAGCTGTGGGGGCTAGGAGAACCCTCCCAAAAGAGAAACCCGTCCAAGAAAGAAACCTTATAACAAATCAAAAAATCTATATACTCTGTATTCCACATAAGGCCCATACAAATTCTAATGTAAAATACTAGTTGACTGGTACCTAGATCCATCATCCTAACACCTAATGTGATAGGGTAAGTAGGGTCATTCTTCCACAAGGAAAAGTGTTCATTAGAGTAGTCAATATTCAATTTATGGAAAGTGATTATAATCAATTGATGAGAGTATTTGGAAAGGGAAGGTTCTAAGCAATTCTAGGGAAATTGTAATAGTGATTAAGGGTTGAGGGTAAATCTATACCAAAGAGGGGGGGGGGGGGAGAGAGGTCAAGGGTTAATGAAACTCCATTTGGGTGGGTGGGTGGGAGGGGGGGGGGGAGGAAGGAAGGTCAAGGGTTAATGAAACTCCATTTAATGCAAGGAGTGATTAGCAAAACTCGCAAGGTTCTCTAGACGTACTAATGAGTCTAGAAATATGGTGGTTGGCGAACACGCTCTATATAATAAATTAAATCTTAGCTTTTGCAAACAAATCTATATATCTCATAACTAGGGATGTTAGTGAGGCTAAGTAGGAGACCCGTCCATCCTCACCCCAATGATGGGAGGAGATGAGTCCTGATTTGGCGGGTGGTGGGGTGGGGATGGGGATACAAACCATAACCATCATGGGTACTTTGTAATAGATTTATAGTCGTACAATAAAAAAAAAAGCGTAATGTTAACTTATTAAGTAAATTTTTTATTGTAATTTATATTATGTAGTATTGTTGCATTTTGGAGGCGGGAATTAGGTGGGTCTTGGGTGAGAATTAGATGGGTACGGATATTTAAGTGTGGAGTGAGGCCGGGATGGTTTTGAAGTTGTACCCGCCGGGGTAGGGATGCTGGATATGGGTTTTGGACCCGCCACGAGAATGGGAATGGGGATGAGAATGGTAGGTGGGGATGGAGATGGGAAGGCCAACATACATCTGCTCCACCCCGTCCCGTCCCGTCCTCCCCTATTGACATCCTTACTCGTAACATCCTTCTTTGCCGCGGCAAAGGTTAAATAATGAGGGGGATTATGCATGGCATTTAAGGGACCAATTATCAAACAATATTGACTTAAATTATAAATCACAATTAACCAACCTAATTCCGACGACTCTCGTTGACAAATGAAAATAATTAAGCCGTAGATTCAATTTCTCTACCAAATATGCACAAATCAAATTAAACAAGGAGTAAGAAAATCCCAAATGTATGCAATATTAATCACGACATACGATTTATTTATCTTAATATTTTCTTTTATCTTCTTATGTGCAATCCTTAAGACTACGACAAGTACTAAATCACAAGAAGATAAAGAAATGTTAGGTGTTTTAACCACCTAAAGTAAATAAAATTAATATCTGCATGTATGTCTATGTGCATCCATATCTCATTGAACATCTCATTTAAATAATATTATGGCATTCTGATAACTTTGGAAGTCAATTGAGAAAATATATAATTGAATGAATTGGACAAGGTCAACTAAGTGGTTTCTCCCCTCACAAAGTCAACATGTTATTCTAATCACCGAACCCATGCTGGTTCAAATTAAACGAACCATATTTTCCAAATATTTTCTTCAAAAAAAAAAAATTATTGATATCCGGATATAGCTGCTCGATGTTAAACGGTTGACGAACATGAGTTGAGATTACATAAATTAAAAAGTCAACATGTTATTCCCATGGCATGATCCTCATTAACTATAATTTGGCTCTAGAACTAATTCTAGTTTATTAGTCCGTAATGTTTATAAAATATTGAATTTTTTGACACTTAACACCTACAATAGTTGCTGTTTTAAGAATTACCATCTATAGTTTTTTTTTTTTTTTTTCGAATTTTACCACCTATGATTTTTTAAAACATCAAAACTTCACACCTACTTGGCCCCGAACTGTAGTCTCATGTCATGTGGGCCCCCTAACTACCTTCTCATCCTATTTCCCTCCTTTTCTTTCTTTCTCTCTCAATTTCTCATTCCCCTACATTGTAGTCCTCTCAAAATTAAGGAAAAACTTCAAATTAAATTACATATTGAAGTTTTTCCCCAATTTTGAGAGGAGTACAATACAGGGGAATAAAAAATCGAGTGAGAAAGAAAGAAAGAGAGGGAAAAAGGTAGTTAGTGGATCCTCCATGACGTGACATTTAAGTTGAGAGTCAAGTAAGTAGGAAGTTTTGATGTTTTTAAAAAAATAGTTGGTGGTCAAATTTATAAAATAAAAAAAAAAATAATAAAAAAACAAAAAAAAAACCGTAGGTGATAATTGCTAAAATAGCAACAATTGTAGGTGGTAATTATCAAAATATCCTAAAATATTATCAATAGTAACTTATAAAATAGTTGTGAGAGAGTTAAGATGAATCATCGGAGTTGTTGTAATTATCAATAGTAACTTATTAAATAGTTGTGAGAGAGTTAGATGAATTATCAAAAGTTCTACATTTTTCATTTCATATTTGCTTATCATTTTTGGAGGATCTTAATTGCATTGAAAGAAATAAATTCTCCAATACCCAAAAGTATTTGAAACTAACACCCTTGTCAATTGTCATTACTAAGTAGAAGCAACCAATATTAGTGGCAAAACTACAAATGCGAACAATTACAAATTTACAATGATCTTGTGCAACTTACTAAAATTGGACGCTTAGTACATTTGTTCTATCGATATATACTAATTATATTTAATTTGGATTATGTCGATTTTTAGAAGGATTAATTAATTTACAAAAGAGATATAATATGCTTATATTTATTTTTAAGACCAGCTTAGGTTGTACGGCAACACGTCTATTCTATCCCTTGTATTTTAAACAATCTCCAAATAATTGTGTTGGAGACTTTAAGCCCTCTAAGTCCTCCTCTAAGCCCTCCTAATGTTCCTCCTCCTACTCCTACTAGACCTTCGGGTTTGCAGGTCTATGCCCTAACAAACTAGTGGATATTGAGGCAGCTATTACAACCAAAGTACAAGAACATTTCCGAAAGGATCCAACTATTCTTCCTTGGCTGCCCTCCTTCTCATGCAATTTCATGATTGTTTCGTACATGTAAGCTCTCGATTCTCTGTATCATTGCATCATCAATTTAAATTCTAGGTGTTGGCCTTATTTATAAGCATTTATTTTAAGTTGACTACTTTCTATATAATTTGACAGAATCATGCAAAAGCTTATATATAACGTCTATATGTCTCTCATATAATATACATTAATTAAGTTAGCATAATGTTTGTACATCCCCACTCGCATCATGTCATAATCATATATTGTCATTGTAAACTAACGGTCTTTTAATTTAATTATTTGAAGGGATGTGATGCATCGATCCTCATAAATGGACTTTCCACTGAGTAAATAGCCAGTCCTAATCTTATGAGAGGATATGAATTGATAGATGCCTTAAAAGCAATTGCAGAAGCACAATGCCAGGATGTTGTTTCATGTGTTAACATTATTGCTATTGCTACTACGGAACTCATTAAACTGGTAAGCTCAAAGCCTTAACAATTACCTCAATTTGTTTACGCATTAATGGTCAGTCAATTCATTTGAGGCCAATTCTTTGGAGTAAATATTTACATTTAATGATTTTCCAACAACAGGGCGGTGGGCCGACTTACTCTGTACAAACATGATGAAGAGATGGACTAGTGTCAAGAGCCCAAGATGTAAATTTGTGTTGTAACGGATGTGAGAAAGAACAAATTAACGAATGCAAAACAAACAAATAACACACAGATTTACGTGATTCACCAACAGTGTGTTGGCTACGTCCACGTGCAGGCGAGAGAAAAGCTTTATTGATCTTGAGGAATTTCCAGATTACAGATTTGAAAATGTCAATTATCACCAGACTTAAACTATGAATAAACCCTAACTAGGTTTATATATAGCTTCCCCAAATAAGATAGATAAATGCATGAAAAAGACTCACGCAACCCTAA